ATAGTGTGTTTGACAATCTTCGGTTTCTAGCAGTTATGACATGAAAAAATCAGGAATAGTTTTGTATTATGTTTTTATTTTGTTTTTTATTATAAAACAATAAGAATTGTTTTTTATTATGAAACAATAGGAATAAATAAGACGTTGAAATGTCAAGGAAAAATCAACAATCGCAGACATTTTTATATCATATCAAGGTTTGTGCAATGCGTTGTGCAAGGCGTTGATTCAATGTTTCTCAATGTTGCTGCAATATTGACATTGTTGCAATTCAACATTGATTCAACATTACTGTGTTGTATGGATTTGTAACGAGTTATATTTTAGAGAAAATAATGGTAACGATAACGAGTTAGTTTTATAAAGTAACATTACCAACCCTGTTTATGTCCATGAAATCAGGCTGATGGCCGCTTTCATGCTTCTCTCCAATTCACGTAAACATTTGTAGAAAAATGTTAGTATTCTGTCTCTCTCGGTAAAATTTTTAGCTTCAACATCCTCTTAAGTACAACTAGGTTCTCTGCTACACCGATACGTGGCGCCATGTAAACCATTGCTAGGTGAGCTCTTTTATTATGAGATATAGTTCCATAATGTTCGCCATGAGTCGCTACAGTTTTCATTTGTTCAACATGTCACACACAAACTCGTGGAACTACTTTCTCACAACACACTGTACAGATTAAAATATTTTTTTATTTCTAAATAATATGGCGGATCAATAATTTCTAAATAATTGGCGGATCAAGAAATCTTTATATTACCAATATTTCAGAAACAGGTCAAAATAACTTTTCTCTCCAAGTAATACGATTCCACGACAATAAACGTTCATTCTTCAGCAGCGCAGCGTCAATAATAAATAAGAAATTCTTCATAAATCGTAAGTTACACAGTTTTCCTTATAAATGCAAAAAATGACATTTGTAATCGATTAAACACCCCTCTAAAATACTTCGAATACTTTCTTTTCGCTACAACAATCAATAAATAATCAATAAAATTAATGTCACAAAAGAATGAAATGTAAGTTAAAATGAAAGATTGCATGTCACGTTAATTTTATAGTTATCTGTTAGAGCAAAAGGAAAATGTTCGGAGTATTTCAGAGTATTTAATCGATTGCAAGTGCCATTTTTTGGATATATCTTTTTATTTCGATATATTTTTATTTTTTATTTTATTTTCGATATATTATGAATTTTGAATATATATTTTCTCGCTTTTGATTGTTATCAATCAAGAGTTTCGCCGACGAGTAGCCACTTAACCCAAGCCAGGTAACAAGCATCAAATAATATAATACCGATGTTATAAGGCAATTTTTGGTGATGATTTGGTACATGTACCAAATTGTCTTTAAGTTTACACCAAAAATTTAATATATATACCATTATCCCCGAGAG